CTCGTCATTTACATCAGGTATAACTCCCAATGCAATCCCTCCCCCCTCCGCCCCCCCATGATAGGCCCCGGTGTGTGATGGATCACTTGGACTCGGGAAGGGAAGAATATTTCATTTTTTAAGTATCTCAATAAATTAGGAAAAGCAGGGAAATTTCTGATAAAAAGAAGTTTGTTTAAAACTTATTATTAATGTCATACTTAATGGTGAAAGACTGAAGGCTTTACCCATAAGATCAAAAATAAGCTAAGAATGTCCATTCTCATAATTTCTATACAATAATGTACTTGTGGGTCTAGCCAGTACAATAAGGCAATAACAAGAAATTCAAGGAATACAAACAAGAAAGGAATAATTAAAACAGCTTTCATTCACAGATGACATAATTGTATACAAAGAAATTCCTATAGACTCTGTTAAAAATTGGTAGAACTAATAAAAACTTAGCAAGGCCATAGGATATCAGGTCAGTATACAGAATTCAATTATATCTTTAATGAATTTGCAATGTCAATTGAATATTAAAATTTTAAATCATCTACAATAGTATCTAAAAACATGAAAAACAGGAAAAAATGTGTAAGATTGGAAGAGTGAACACTATTAAAACATCACGGAGAGAAATTAAAGAAGTCCTAAATCAATGGAGAGATTTATGTTTATGAATTAGAAGATTCAATATTGTTCAGATGTCAGTTCTCCCCAAATTGATCTACGGGTTCAATGCATCCTTTTGGGTAAAATTTGCTCTTACTTTAGGCCAGGGGAGAGTTCTCTTTGAGATGGTTTATACCTATGTTTTGCTGAATTGGAATGTCAGTTTTCCTGGAGTTTATGCAGCATGTAGAACATGATTTTTTTGTACTTGTTCTTCCATTAAATTTCATATCCTGGAAACATGTTTGTCTGGATGGGATGTTTTCTTTGGTAGCAAAGGTGATGATATTTCAAAATTACATTTTGTAAGATCTTCTGGTTTCAAATTACTTTTCCATAGAAACCACTCTAGAAATGAAAAGGGAGTGTGAACTAGTAATAAGTATTTGAGCACAGCCATTTCAGGTTCATCTGGGGTTGCTGTTACAATTAATTGTCAAAATATACCTTTGTTATTCTTTTTCACAAAACAGGTCCAATAACTGGAGTCTCAATTGGCAGTGGTTGAGTTCATGCTGATCTAGGACTTGGGATATTGTCATTGGAAATAAAGTTAACAGCAATTACAGTATCTTTTCTTATTCTTTGTTGCCTTACTTCTCAAAGGGTAGAAAATAGGTCAGAAAAACAGACAAACCCAGGATACCTGTTAGAAATACAGAACCTCAGTCTCCATCCCCCTCATCAATTCAATCAGAATCTGTATTTTAACCTGATTCACTGGTGATTCCTATGCATATTAACATTTTAGAAGGGCTGCACATTTATTCTTCTTTAAAACCACTCCCAGCTAATCTGGGCTGGCAGATTTTTTTCTGGAGTAAGAGCGAATTTGCAGAGAGGTCACCAATAGTATTGTAATCTCACTGGAACAACTTTTCTTCTTAAACTTATCATGTAAAATCACCAAAAGTTTTATTCACTATTTTCTTCTGACAAGATAATCATAAAGAATTAGTCTTAATCAGCATATTATTGATGTGTCATAAGCCTTACATTTTGATATTACTATGTATAGATACCTTTTCTTCAACTTTTATTTTAGATTCAGCAGGTACATGTACAGATTTGTTACCTTGGTATATTGTGTGATGCTAAGGTTTAGGATATGAATTATTCATTTCATCACCCAAGCACTGAGCACAGTATGTAATAGTTTTTCAACCTTTGTACCCTTTCCTCCCTCCCCTTTGTAGTAGTCCCCAGTTCCTATTGTTGCCATCTTTATGTCCATGAGTACCCAATGTTTAGCTCCTACTTATGTGAGAACATGTAGTATTTAGTTTTCTATTACTGCATTAGTTTGCATAGATTTTGTTCCTTTTTATGGCTGCATAGTATTCCATGGTGTATATGTACCACATTTTCTTTATCCAGTCCACCATTAATGGGCACCTAGGTTGATTCCATATCTTTGTTATTGTGAATAGTGCTACAATTAACATGTGAGTGCATGTGTCTTTTTGGTAGAATGATTTGTTTTCTTTCAGACATATACCTGGTAATGGGACTGCTGAGTCAAATGATAGTTCTAGGTTCTTTGAGAAATCTCTTTCCAGAGAAAAACTGCTTTCCACAGTGGCCAAACTAATTTACATTCCCACCAACAGTGTTTAAGCATTCCCTTTTCTCCACAGCCTCACCAGCATCTGTTATTTTTCACTTTTTAATAATAGCCATTCTTACTGGTGTGAAATTTTATCTCAGTGTGGTTTTGATTTGCATTTCTCTGGTGATTAGTGATGTGGAGCATTTGTTCATATGTTTTTTGGTCACTTATACGTCTTCTTTTGAGAAATGTCTGTTCATGTCTTTTGCCCATTTTTTGATAAGATTGTTCGGTTTTCGCTTGTTCAATTATTTAAGTTCCTTACAGATTCTGGATATTAAATTTTTGTTGAATGAGTAATTTGTGGATTTTTTCTCCCATTCTGTAAATAGACAACTTACAGAATGGGAGAAAGTGCTTACAGACAACCTACAGAATGGGAGAAAAAATTCACAAACTACTTGTTGATAGTCTCTTTTGCTGTGATGAAGCCCTTTGGTTTAATTAGGTTCCAGTTGACAATATTTACATATGTTGCAATTGCTTTAGAGGACTTACTCATAAATTCTTTCCCAAGACTGATGTACAGAATAGTGTTTCTTCAGCTTTTTTCTTGAATGCTTATATTTTGAGGTCTTACATTTAAATCTTTAACCCATCTTGAGTTAATTTTTGTATGTGGTGAGAGGTAGGGGGTCCAGTCATTCTTCTGCATATGGCTAGCCAGATATTTCAGCACAATTTATTGACTAAGAAGTCATTTCCCCATCGTGTATTTTTGCTGACTTTGTTGAAGATCAGATTTCTCTAAGAGTGCAGCTTTGTTTCTGGGCTCTCTATTCTGTTCCATTGATCTACATATCTGTTTTTGTACCAGTACCACAGTGTTTTGGTTACTGTAGCCTTATAGTATAATTTGAAATTGGATCATGTGATGTCTCCAGCCTTGTTCTTTTTGTTTATGGTTGCTTTGGCTATTTGGGCTCTTTTTTGGTTCCACATGAATTCTGGAATAGTTTTTTCTAGTTCTGTGAAAAATGATGTTAGTAGCTTGATAGGACGACTTTGGGCAGTATGGGCCATTTTAACACCATTTGTTCTTCCAATCTATGAGCATGGAATGTTTTTTTTATTTATTTATGTCATCTATGATTTATTTTAGCAGTGTTTTGTACTTCTCCCTGCAGAGATCTTTTACCTCCTTGTATAGATGTATTTCTAGGTTATATATAGATATTATTACATGTTCTTTGGTGAAGTCTGCACATATAATCTATATATAGATAATGAAAATAATTTTATAATATGCCTTTCAATTTAGAAAGGAATCATTTAAAGTTTTTTTGTGTACATGTTAGGTAGGGATAAACTTTGCCTTGTGGGGCAGTGTTTAGGAGGTGCTCAACAGAGACAATACAGCCCAAGTTGACTATTGAAAGATTACTTGGGGAAGGGTCAAACATGAACAGAAGGTGACCATGTTTTAAGAAACTTCACATATTGTTAACAACCGTTCATGTGGAATAATAAATGTGTGTGTGGAGGGGATGTGTGAGGGGTTTTATAGAATAATGAGGTTCATGAAAGTATGGCCATCAAAATGTCAATGGCGCTATGTCATGGTGTTGGGATTCTAGGGGGAAAATGAGCAGAGCTGGAAGCAAACTATTTCTAATTTAGATGCAGACAGATTTATAAAACTCCTTCTTCCCTCCCTCCCTCCGTCCCTCCCTCCCTCCCCTTCCTTCCTTCCTTCTTTCTTTTTCTTCCTTTCCCTTTTTTTTTTTTTTTTTAATTATACTTTAAGTTCTAGGGTACATGTGCACAACGTGCAGGTTTGTTACATACGTATACATGTGCCATGTTGGTGTGCTGCACCCATTAACTCGTCATTTACATTAGGTATATCTCCTAATGCTGTCCCTCCCCTCTCTCCCCTCCTTCTTTCTTTTCTTATTTTTATTTTTTATTTTTGAGAAAGAGTCTTGGTCCGTCACCCAGGCTGGAGTGCAGTGGTACCATCCAGCTCATTGAAACCTCCACCCCCTCTGGTTCAAATGATCCTCCTGCTTTAGCCTCCTGAGGAGCTGGGACTACAGGCTTGCAACACCATGCCTAGCTAGTTTTTATATTTTTTGTAGAGATGGGTTTTCGCTATGTTGGCCAGGTTGGTCTTGAATTCCTGGGCTCAAGTGATCCACCTGCCTCGGCCTCCCAAAATGCTGGGATTACAGGCGTGAGCCACCATGCCTGGTCTATAAATCTCTTTCCATTCCTGAATAAAGAACAATTATATACTCTTAAAGCATTCCAAATATGTAATATGTTTTCTTTATTCTCACGTCAACCCAATAATATTGAGAACATAAATATTCTTACTCTTATCTTACAGATGAAGAAACAGCGACTCACAGGCTAGTGCCTTATTCAAGGCCACCTAAGTAATAAATAAAACTCCAGTGCACACTCTTCCTGAATCTCAACCTATGCATATCATATTGTAAGAGCAATCACTGAATGGTAGTTAACAGACTCTTTGTAAGCTGGCCCTAACAATATCCTGTGGGAAAGTAGAGTATGGTGTAAAATAATACATGTACATGCTTGTTTGAATTTTAAGACTGCTTCACATATATTACAGCAATCCTGTAAAGTAGTTTACTATTAACCATGTTTTACAGAAGAAACTGAGGCTGCGAGAGGTTAGGTGATTGGCCTAAAGGATACAATAACAGTGTGCAGAAACCCTGACACTCAATATTAGTTTTCTCATGCTTTTTGTCTTTCAACACAGTTGAAGGACTACTCTCAGGTCACATCACCAACATGACCGAATCCTTTGGAACAACTACTCATCCAGAATGAATACATTTCAGTGAGTAGTTTTTCCTTCTTTCTTAGGATTTCCTCTCTTCTATGCCTCACTATTTTCCTGCAGATATCTGGATCCCATGTTCATTTACATCCTAAAGTATTCAAATTGTTTTTTCTTCTCAATTGTTTTGCAAGCTTATTGAAAACTAAACAACATCCCACACATCATTGTGTCCTCCATAGCACCCAACACAATGTCCTGCAAATACAAGTTTTCAAAAGAGGACTAAATGAACGCGTGAGTGAAAGAATGAATGGGTGAATGTAAACTGTGGTAATAAGTCTAAAATCACACAGAGAGCAGAGTGAAGCAAAACTAGAATTAAGGCTCTTGGCCTCAGACCTGGAGACAAATCAATGCTCCTCAGCTTACCAGCAAAATCTTGGGATAAAAATTTTCAACAAATGGCACTGAAGAGCCAAATTTAGACTTCTTGCCTGGCCCTTGTTTTGTGGATGACACCTGGCTGACTTCATATTTGAAATCCCATTTTCATACAGAATTGAAATTGGATCAAGTTTTGAATCAAAGCAGCCAAGGGAAAACAAGCAGTGACTGCCAATGTAATGTCTGTGCCAGTGTCCAGTCCTAGTGGTCCATTACCCACATAGCATCATTAGGTATGTGCATGTTGGAACCAGCCCTGGGTGGGCAGCTGGGCTGTAGCTTCAACTCAGCCACACAATATCTGTTAGACTGTGCATAATCCAGTTAACATTTTCAGACTTCAGTATTCTCCACAGCTGACCAATAATGTTCATATGGGATATGAGTTGTATTAGATGGCTTCTTGGGATTTCTTACCTTCGGGCTTTTGATATAATTCTACCATGCATAATCACCATTCTCTTTTCAATTGCACAAAGGCCGTTTTTCTGAGATTCCATGTAAAATTATGATAGTGGGTTTGCAGAGATCGAAGAGTTATGAGCAAAGAGGGTGCTCAAAGAAATTACTGCTAAATAATGACTGTTGCTAACAGTGCTATAACTTAAAATATTTGTTCAAGCAACATATATTGGATGCCTTGGGTATGCTAGGCCTGGGGGTACAGAGTGAACAAAATAGTTGTGTTTGGAAAATTATCATAAGTTAATGATAAGCCCTTTTAGTAGAGGGCTTATTTCAAGGAAGGGCAGCAAGTACAAAATGTAAAACTGGTGAAACTGAAAGAAGCCAAGGTGATTGGAGTGCAGAGACTGAGGAGCTGGGTTGGGTAGGATTTGGCTCAGGGGCCTGACCGCAGCTGAGAGGACAGGCAAGATGCAGTCTCAAAGTGTCCTTTGGGTTTAGCAACATTGTGGAGCTCAAGTGAGGTCCCCTTCAAGGAGCGGTGGTGGTGACAGCCACAGCAGAGTGGGTGGAGAATTGTCCAGGAGATGAGGCCACAGATGTGGTGAGAATGAGCACTGTCTTGAGAAATTTGGTTATGAAAAGAAGAAAAGAGAGGGGAAAAATAGATGGGGAGTGTTTAGGGCTGAGTGTTTGAGACCCTCCAAAATTTATATGCTGATATCCTACCCCCTAGTGTGATGGTATTAGGAGGTAGAGGCTTTGGGAGGTGATTAGGTCAGAGGGTGGAGCCCTCATGAGTGGGATTAGTGCCCTTATAAAAGGACCCCAGAGAGCTCTCTCGCTCTCCTTTCCACAAGCAGACACAGCAATCAGACAACTGTTTACAAACCAAGAATAGGGTCCATCACCACGAACTTGACCCTGCTGGCATCCTTATCTCGGACTTCCAATTTCCAAAACTGTGAGAAATCAATGTTTGCTGTTTAAGCCACCAGTTTATTGTATTTTGTTATAGCAGCCAGAGCTAGGACAGAAATGAAATTGGATGATTTTGTTTTCCCTTTCTTAATGGGAAAAGACAAAATGGAGAGGTTATACATATAGAAGAGAGAAGCGATAGAATTCTTGATAGTTGACATATGGGATATGGAGCACAAGTAGATGAATTGGCCTTAGGTGAAGGAGCACACTCTTCTACTGTAAACCCTGGCTGTATTATGCAGGGACAGGAAGGTTAGTGGTATTCTGAAGTTTTCCTAATGTATCTCTAAAGAAATGGGTTCCCTGGATGTCAAAGGGATGGACTGCATGAACAGCCTGTGTGAGTCACAAACCAACCAAGAACTGTGAGATTATGCTAGAGACACTCTGAGTCTGCAGTACTGCAAGGAATGTTGGCAGATATCCATGTGATGCTCTGAGAAGCCTGAATATTTGTTAACATAGTTTGTCTTCTATAGAATGTATAATGTTTCATTCATTATTAGTCTCCATTAGCCTGGAGACTAATACACCTTGAGCAGAGAGCTTGCAGTAGCTCTATGGTAAAAATGCAGCTACTGATTAGGCTCAAACCAACAGGACTATGAAAACTCAGGTAACTTGTAACAGGGGCCTCTAGTCTGGTGATTACGGGTCAGTGTCCTGTGATGATTTGAAGAAGGCATCAAAGGTCTGAGTTTCAAAGATCATCCCTCTACAGTTTTCCCCATTTTTACCCGATGCTCTCTTTTTAACCAGCTACCCTCATTTTCCTTTCCCCAGAGGTGCTCTTTCCTGCTGCATTTGGATACAGGTTCTGGTGGGCCCTGTTTGCCCAGATCCTTGGGTAAGTAAATTTGATGTCAATTGATCTTAATCTCAGATGCCAAGTTTGTGCTAAGATGTAAACGACCCTTCAGTAAATTGAATAATCTTGTTGGGCATTACCATAGTTATAAAATGTTAAGGAAGTAGAGTTTTTTTGTTTTGTTTTGTTTTGCTTTTTGTTTTTTTAATCAACAGAGAGCCTTTCAAAAGATGTCACAAAGATTAGGAAACATACTCCATCGTTACGGAGTATGTTTCCTATAATGATTCCATTACCAAGACTACACTGGCAGCAAGACTTCCTCTGGCTGGGTGAAGCTAAAGGTCATCTCTGACCAGTCCTCAGAAGCCTTCAAAGATCTTTTAAATGTTTTCTTAATGCTCCTCTCTGGCTCTTTAAATCATGATTGAGGCTTGGATTCTATTAGAGTGAGCAGGGACTCAATATGAAATTCTGCACCAGGCACACAGTTAATATAATTTCTTTTATTTAGAATTCTGCTCTCTGTACAGTCTGGTTATCAATTCTCTTTTTCATGATTTGGCATTTGTGATGGAAAGAACAAATTCAGATGTCCTTCCTCTCTGAGTGATTCACAGTGTGTTTTCCATTTCCATTGACAACCTTCTCAATGTTTTGACAATAACTTCCTCAATAGGACACCAAAATTATGTGACTAAATGAAAAGAATTCACAATCACTGAATACGTACCATGTATCATATATTTTAACATATACCTTAGCATAGACCACAAAGGATTAATACTAGGACTTGGTACCAAATCTAAGATTTCTTCCATGCTCCAGTAATTATAGAGTGACAATGAAATTCTGGCTTCTGCATATCCCGTCATCATGCTGCTCTCATTATCATAGCACAAGACAGCAGTGGCTTTTCATAGCAACATTATTATAACTACTTTAGACAACAGTCTTTCCAGTTATTTTTCTTATACTCATAGAAGATAAATGGACTGTCTGTAAGCACCATCAAACTACATTTAAATGTAAAGGCTAAAAATATTTTTAAGAATTAGGAAATCCAAGTGAATTCGATTTTTCCTTCTATGCCTTCCCCTCAACTCCAAATTCATTTTTTAAATTGAGGTATGATTTATATTCTAAAAAATTAACCAATTTTAAGGAAATAGTTTGTTTTTATATTTTAACAAAAATGAAAATGTAAGAAGGTAAAACCACTTACTAAGATTTTTTTTTTTTTGGAGAATATAAGTGATTCTACCAAAAAAACATGTGCACTCATGTGTTCATTGTAGCACTAGTCACAACAGCAAAGGCATGGAATCAATCTAGGTTCCTGTCAACAGTGGACCAGATTAAGAAAAAAAAAGTGGGCTGGGTGCAGTGGCTCACACCTGTAATCCCAGCACTTTGGGAGGCCGAAGCGGGTGGATCATAAGGTCTGGAGTTCAATACCAGCCTGGCCAAGATGGTGAAACCCCATCTCATCTAAAAATACAAAAACATTAACCAGGCGTGGTGGTGGGAGCCTGTAATCCCAGCTACTTAGGAGGCTGAGACAGAGAATTGCTTGAACCTGGGAGGTGGAGGTTGCAGTGAGCCGAGATGGCGCCACTGCACTCCAGCCTGGGAATGAAGGAAGACTCCGTCTCAAAAAATAAAGAAAAAAAAAAAGCGATAGCAGTCCTTTGCAGCAACATGGATGCAGGTGGAGACCATTATCATAATCGAATTAATGCAGGAACAGAAAACCAAATACTATATGTTCTCACTTATGAGTAGGAGCTAAACATTGGTTACATGTGGACATACAGATGGCAACAATAGACAATGGGGACTACTAGAAGGGAGAAGGAGAAGAGGTACAAGGATTGAAAGCTAACTATTAGGTACTATGATCACTACCTGGGTGATGAGATCATTCATACCCCAACCCTCAGCATCCTGCAATATACCCATGTAACAAACCTACACATGTACTCCTGAATCTAAAATAAAAGTTGGCTGGGCGTGGTGGCTCACACCCCTAATCCCAGCACTTTGGGAAGCCGAGATGGGTGGAGCACTTGAGGTCAGGAGCTCAAGACCAGCTTGGTCAACATAGTGAAACCCTGTCTCTACGAAAAAAATCCAAAAAATTAGCTGGATGTGGTGGCATGCATCTATAGTCCCAGCTACTTGGAAGGTGGGAAAATCACTTGAACCTGGGAAGTGAAAGCTGCAGTGAGCTGGTATCGCACCACTGTACTCCAGCCTGGGTGACAGAGTGAGACCCTGTCTCAAAATAAATGAATGAATGAATGAATAAATACAGAAATAAATTAAATAGAAGTTGAAGTTTTTTTAAAAAGTGTATTTTTTAATTACACAAACAAAAATATGGAATGAATTGAGAACGCTATCAATATTTCTCCAATGACATTAAACTCATACCACGTTCTCCTTTCAAGAATCAGTTAATTCAATTTTATAGAAAGGAGTCTGGGATAGAGAAAAAGGTTATATATTGCACACTCATTTTATGAAATAAATATAACCCTAATATCAAATAGACACAGACAAAATGCCATAGAACAGTCTCACTTATATGTATATATGAAAAATTATAAACAAAGCATTGAACAGAATTTAGTAGTATGTAAGATAATGACCTGCCCTATGCAATGGGATTTATTCTGGCAATATAATGGTATTGAGTCTAATATTATGAAATTCACCAAAAAAAAAAAACCATTACTAAATAAATTAGGAATGGGCTATGTTTATTTCAAAGTAGGTCACATGAGTATCTGAGAGAATCTTCTCATTTTTTGTTTAAAATAAAATAAACAAATTTCTTTGTAAAGTAAAAATGGAAGAAATAGCCCTTTATGTGACAAAGTATATCTATTTGAAATCAACAACATAGAGCCTATTTAATGCTGAAACTCAAAAATATATTAAAATCATAAATATATCAAGCAATCCTTTACCAATATTATTATTTAACAACACTCCAGAATTTCTAGTCAATGCTATAGGACATGAAATTGAATCAATGGAAATACATGTTAGAAAAGACGTCTCAACATTATTACTTTTGGATGACATTATCACACACTTATCAACATCATAATAAATAGACAACTCAAGAGACTCCACAGAAAAATTCTAGGAATTAATTTTAAAGGTCAATTAAATGGCAGGGTACATGATAATCACACCAGAAAAATCAAATGATTTGCCAGAAGTGAGTTTAAATATAAAAGAAACAGAAATAGGACTCACAATTGCAATAATTATTAATATTTAAACTATCCACAAAAAGTCTCAAGTAATAAATGATCAATCATGAGATTCAGAATATTCATAAGATACCCTCAAAGAAGTAGTTTAGGAGAAGTGCAGATTGTTCCAGCAATGAGCTCTAGGAGGGGTGGGATGGTATGGAGCGGATAACATCCTCATCATGAATTTTTTTTTTTTTTTTTTTTTTTGAGACAGAGTCTTACTCTGTTGCCCAAGCTGGAGTGCAGTGGTGCTATCTTGGCTCACTGCAACCTCCACCTCCTGAGTTCAAGTGATTCTCCTGCTTCAGCCTCTTGAGTAGCTGTGATTACAGGTGTGTGCCACCACGCCCAGCTAATGTTTGTATTCTTTAGTAGAGACTAGGTTTCACCAGTTTGGCCAGGCTGGTCTCATACTCCTGACCTCAGGTGATCCACTTGCCTTGGCCTCCTAAAGTGCTGGGATTACAGGCATGAGCCACCATGCCTGGCCCTCAACGTGAATTTGTAAGAGGTACAAAAGTGACTTTGTTCTAGGGATCACTTCAAGAATTTATCAAAGCATTTCAAACTTATAATCATGCTTAAGGATAATTTGGTGAGAATTGCCTGTAGGACTAATAATCTATCTCAGATGTATGGTTATCTGATGGTCCAGCTTGATTTATGGACAGATTTAAAATGGAAGGAGCACAGAATTGGCATGGGATCAATGGCTGTGGGATTTGGGTGATGTGCACATGGGGATTCATTATATTATTTTCTCTACTCCTGTGTGTGTTTGAAATTTTCTGTAACAAAATATTTAACAAACAGAGCCCAATAACCCTCCCGAAATTATATGCAAAATGTTGTGTGTATGAGCATATGTACATTTTTTGAGGGAGGAGTTCCAAAACACGAATCAGATTCTTAAGAGTCTATTTTGCTGGAATGAACAATTGGAGTAAATAGGCTGCCGAACCATTAGCCAAGATTCCATTAGGACCATATCTTGCAATAAATGTTTATAATAGAAATTGGGAAATAGAGATTTTAAAGCTACGATCCCTTGCAAAGACTCTGAAGTATAAATGCCAAACCATTCTTGAAATCATTGCAGTAAAACAACTAATGATTGATAACCTAAGACTTTATGGGAAAACAGAGTTGGGAGGATTGAGGATGCAAGTGAAACTGTGAAAGTTATTATAATAAGTTGTTAACTTGTTAAAAACAATATAATTGGGGCAACACATTAAATAAAGCAAGTGAAAGTGACATATAAACCCGTCTTTTAAATTAAGGCCCTTATAGAATTAATTTCCATTTATTATTTCTAGCTCCAAAGAAACATATTCATCGTTTCCCATTGAGCTCCTTTCAAATTCATTTTGCTTTGCTGGCAATAATCTGCATTCTAAAAAGCTCTCCCCGTTTCCTGCCTCCCACTGCCTGGCTTTTCTCATTCTTGGCTCAAATGATCAAGACCTTTTAAATTTTGACACTAGAAGTTGCCAATTTCAACCTCCCAAGCCTACAATGTTCTAGAAACAAATAGAGTGAAATGGCACTTCTTAAGAATGTTTCAATACCCTCTCTTAGAAAAGATCCAGGTCTACAATGATTTTTTTCTCAACTTCCGATATATTATGCATAGTTTCACTAGAAAACTTGAGTTTCTACTCTGACACCCACTTTGTCTCTTTTCCTTCTGTAAGTAAGTGATTTTTAATTAATAAACAAAAATCCAAAATTACAGCTATGTGTTGGTGATGATGGCTAATAATCACTCTGTGCCAGGCACTTTTCTATGTGCTTTGCATGTGCTGACACATACAATTCTCATACCAATGCTAGGAGGTGCGAAAAAAGTATCTGAAATGTAGAAATAGGTAAAAAAAAAAAAAACGAAAACAAAACTGGGCTTTTTTTCCAGGGCATTGCTGAGCTTGCAGCTTTGATTTTCTATTGCCTGGACTATTTTACTACTCTGTAGAAGCAGAGGTTAACATAAATTTGTGTCAAGATGTAGATAATTTCTATTATGTCAGTGTGCCAGGTAGGTTTGCGTGTGTGTGCGTGTGTGCGCGCACGCGCGAATGTGTGTGTATGGTGTGGTGATAATCTTAAAGGCTGTAGTTCATTGCCATCTTGACATTAACCAGTTTTGCTCCCATCCCAACAATCTTATCCTAACATTTGTTTATTAAATTACCTATAAATGCCCAGCTTCCCCAATGCCCTTTGAACCTGTTTTACAGTTTTTTCATTAATTAATGAGTTAAACAAAATCTTTGACACATTTTCTTTTTTTAACCTTTTAAAAAGCATACTCTAGGCCGGGCGCGGTGGCTCAAGCCTGTAATCCCAGCACTTTGGGAGGCCGAGACGGGCGGATCACAAGGTCAGGAGATCGAGACCATCCTGGCTAACACGGTGAAACCCCGTCTCTACTAAATAATACAAAAAAAAACTAGCCAGGCGTGGTGGTGGGCCCCTGTAGTCCCAGCTACTCGGGAGGCTGAGGCAGGAGAACGGCGTGAACCCGGGAGGCGGAGCTTGCAGTGAGCTGAGATCTGCCACTGCACCCCAGCCTGGGCGACAGAGCGAGACTCCATCTAAAAAAAAAAAAAAAAAAGCATACCCTAACACTAGGTATATTACATGATAACCTTTTAGTGGTTGAATATTATTCTATGTTATGAACTACAAACAATTAACTCGTTATTCTTCCATTATAGGATATTAAATTTGGTTCCAATATTTTTCCTTTTAAGAAAAAAATGATATATATTCAATATTTTGTGGCTAAACATTTGCATTTGTTTAATTATAACACTACAAGTGGAATTTCTAGGTCAAACTCTTCAC